TAATGGAAAGTTGGCTGAGGATGTTTACATGAGTCAGCCAGAGGGTTTTGTCAACACAGAGTACCCTAATAGAGTGTGTAAGCTTGAGAAATCCATTTATGGGTTAAAGCAAGCACCTCGCAGATGGAATCTTTGCTTTGATGAGAAAGTCAAGGAATTTGGCTTTTCTAGGAGTGAAGATGAATCTTGTGTATATGTCAAGGCTAGTGGGAGTATAGTTAGCTTTTTGGTATTGTATGTGGATGACATACTACTCATAGGAAATGACATCCCAACTCTGCAGGAAGTTAAGTCCTGGCTTGGGAAGTGTTTCTCTATGAAGGACCTAGGAGAAGCTGCCTATATTCTAGGGATAAGGATCTTGAGAGACCGGAGTAAAAGACTAATTGGACTTAGTCAGAGTACTTACTTGGATAAGGTGTTGAAGAGATTCGGCATGCAGGACTCCAAGAAAGGAGAGTTACCCATCCAGAGTAATGCCAGATTGAGTAAGACACAAAGCCCTAGTACTGAGGCTGAGATAGCAGAAATGAGTCGAATACCTTATGCTTCGGTTGTAGGATCGATCATGTATGCTATGACGTGTACTCGACCTGATGTAGCCTTTGCTTTGAGCATGGTTAGCAGGTATCAGGGGAACCCTGGCAAGGCACACTGGACTGCGGTAAAGAATATCCTCAAGTACCTACGGAGGACTAAGGACTGGGTCCTTACCCTCGGTGGGAGTGAAGACTTGAGAGTTGTAGGGTATAGTGATGCTAGCTTTCAGACTGATAGGGATAATTTCCGCTCTCAGTCAGGCTGGGTCTTTACCTTAAACGGAGGAGCAATTTCTTGGAAGAGTTCCAAGCAAGAGACAGTGGCTGATTCAACTTGCGAATCAGAGTATATAGCAGCTAGCGAGGCAGCAAAGGAGGCGATATGGCTGAAGAACTTCATTGGAGACCTTGGAGTTGTACCAGCTATTAAAGAGCCAATGGAAATTTTCTGTGATAGTGAAAGTGCAGTTGCCTTAGCCAAGGAACCAAGGGATCACGGGAGATCCAAACACATCGACAGAAAATACCATTTCATCAGACATCGAATAGAAGAAGGACTCCTCGTGGCAAAGAGGGTATCATCGGATGAGAATCCAGCAGATCCCCTCACGAAGGGACTGACTCGGGTTAAGCATCTCCAGCATGCTCGGAGCATAGGGCTGAAGGATGATATTAGATTTAGTAGTTAGATAACCTTGAAATTTGTAAAGTGTAATTGACATTAGATGATGAATAAAAGGTGTTTTATTTATGAGTAAAGTGTTGCTATCTCTTGTCGATCGTTTACTATATTTCTTTTGCATGTTTTGACTTCCAGAATAATTATGTTTGGTATATCATATTATTCGAACCTCCACAGTCGGTCATATGTCGGAAGTAGGTATGAATCAAGACTGTCATGATTGGTTGCAGAGGTCTAAGTTGTTGGACATGGCTACAACACTCATGAGTGCTCATAAGTTCTGAGCATTGGACTCAACCCACGCTCACTGGAATCACTTCATGGAATTTATCTCGAGTGATCGTGAGACGGTAATATCATATAAGTCTTCAAACCTAGAGATATGATTTGTTACTTATGAGTTGGTTATGCATTGATTGTACGTTAACGCATTGGTAACTCGATGTTATAAAACGTGCTTTTGTGTATAATTCAATGAGTGGTAGAACAAACATATGAGTCGAAGTTTATCTCTTCCTTCTTGGATTAGAAGCTGATATCTGGGCCCCTCGATGATTTTGTTTTGACCTATGTACGGGCCCGGTCAGAACTAAGTTGATGTGTTCAATTAAGTTCTTGTCAAACAAATCGGAAATCGGGAAACAAACTGTTGGACAATAAGTAAGACATTGTTCCATGTATTTGTCCGGTTGATATCTAGAACAGAGGATTATATGATCACTTATCTTAAATGGCGTATCATCATCTTCTCAGTTCCGAGAAACCTTGAAAAGAGCTACGATTGCTGATCGGTTCCTGAAGTCATACTTGCAGTTATAGTATTAGACTTATCCAAGTGGAGACTGTTGATAAGGTGTCTAAGTCCATAACTATTTCTGGTATGTACTTGACCCGACCCGGCATGGTCTATTTGGGTTGCATGGCATCATGCATTTGGATAGACTAAATGAGAGAAATAACACTTGTGGTTTATTAATAATTATAAGTTCTAATAATTTAATAGTATTATTTAATTAGTATTGATCAAGAATTAATTTAGAATTAATTAAGTGATAAAAAGATAACTAATTAAATATATGGGTTGATCATGTAAATCATCCATAACTTGTATAGTGGGCTAAAAGGCTCCATGGATAATCAAGTTGGGTTAAACCCATTGAATGCTCCATGGAGGCTCCATGGGAGTTACAAACCCATGGTCATGGAAATGAAGAGTCATGCCACATTAGGGTTTACATGGTGTAACCCTAGATGTGACACACTATATAAGCAACATGTTCTCCACCAAAATCGGTGACACTAAGAAACAAGAGGGCTAGAGCCGATTTTGCAAGTGTAAGATTCTCTCAAAGTTTACTCCTTTGCATTTGGTGTTGTGTGAAGCATTTGAGGCATCATACTTGGGGTGCTAGGCTCACAAGGTTTCAAGGATCATAATCAACAACAAGGTAAGTTATTCTATCTTTCATTCAAGTTAAAAATGTTCCCCATGTATGCTAGATAGGCATATGACCTTGGAATTCAACTTTGCATGATTATTAGACAAACATAGATCCAAGGTTATTAGGGTTGCATGTACACTTAGGAAGTGTTAGAATGCTCAAAACCCATCAAAAACCTTGATACTCACAATGTTCTCAACCCTATTTTCAAGAGTATATGGTATACTTATTTATCCTTGAGAAAGTAAACTCAATAGGAAGATTCAAACCAGTTAAACTAAAGAATAAGGTTGTGAAAGGTTCTTACTATGCTTCTCGATATGCCCAGACAACGCAAGTTAACCAAAAAAACCTGCTAATTAACCAAAATTAATCAATCCCAAACATTTTCCAATAAGATTTATCGATGTAATCTATTTACATGGTAGACTAAAACTTTATATTTTCTTTGGTATTGAGTCTAAAAAATGTTTTTTTGTAATATTAAAAAAGGATAGGTGAATAACTTATTTCTGAGAGCCCAATTTGTATCTTTAAAAGATGTTTTTTACAATAAATCATAACACATATCACCACTGGGTTTTGCTGAGTTGTAGAAATGTGAATCACTCACTTGTATAACGGTTTAAATTCCATCTCCAAATCCAGGAAGGGATCGAATGGGTAAAACATTATAGATATTGACTCGAGTATATCTTCCATTCATGACTTGGTAAGCCACAAAAAAATCATTGACTAAATGCATATACAAAAATGTAAAAATAAAAAAGAAAATCGACATATACAAATTCACTACCTAGTGGACATATCTTCCAAATCGAAACAATGGATGAGAGGTAGCGGTGTTGTTGTGTCCATCCTTTTGCTCTTCAGATATCTATAACTTAAAAAATCAAAATCAACAATACAGATCATAAGAACAAAAATCGAAGCAGATTCAGAAAATGTAACCATTATGGATTTAAACTTAAATCGAAAAGGTTTTATAGATTGGAACTTCATAGTTGAAAGTCCAAGGTTCTAAAAAGCTCGGCATGGCTCCGTCATGTCGCGCCATGGCTCCAAGGCTTGCACCTGCCGCCAAGCTTTACCAAAACGCCGTCTTAACTCATATATGTGTATAAAAATGAATAATAGTTGAAAATACATATAAAAATATTAATTATATAGAAAATTGACGCCTTAAGTCGCGTCTTACAAACTTCGTAGCTCGCCAAGGCTCGGAAAAGCTTGAGGCTTGACATTGCCGCCAAGTCACGCCTTATGTTATTTAGAACCTTGGTTGAAACATAATAAAAGAAACATAATCTAAAACGTACCCAAAATCGATCTAAACTATGATTAAATTAAAGTAGAATCCAAAGAAATTTATCTCTATATCATTCCTCCTTCTTTCATGATGATCGAACACAAGACTGATCTACACAAATCGAAGCCCACATATATTTTATTTCTTCTTTCCCCCATTTTCTTTCCCACTATAAAACTTAGGTTAAATAAATTATGTAAAGAAAAAAGGGAGAGAGGGTAAGGGTACTGGAAATGAGGATGGGGCGGGACATTTTTTCATTTTATTTTTGCTGAGATTTAATTGTCATTAATAAAATTCCTAATTTAATAATTTTAATTTTTGGTGCGATTTAATTGTCATTAATAGAATTACTAATTTAATTCATTTTATTTTTGGAGAGATTTAATTGTCATTAATAGACTTCCTAATTTAAAACATAATATATGTTTTATAAAATTTGTGGACAAAAATAAATGGGTTGACAAAGATGATGTCAGCAAACAATCAAAATGTGGAAAATATAGGATTGAAATGCAATCAATGACCCTGATTTCTTCAATTTAGAATTAAATGTTTTCTTTTAATAATATTTAGAGATTTAATAAAATAAAAAAAACCACAAAATGTCATGTGGAAAAATTTAATAGAAAATAACCACAAAATGACACGTGGTCAAATCAATAAGAATTTGACATTTGGCAAAAAGATTTTCATTTATTATAGTAGATTTTGTGATGGTACTTAATATTTTAGGAGTTGTGCCTTTAAAAATTCTCAATAATCAGACAATATACTTTATATAATAGAATAGATTAAGATTTAGGATACTATAAATTTATATGATTAGTTATGATCGATCCTGATCTAATATTTCAATACAAAATCTATCATTATACTATATGGTTTTATTATGGTTTTATGTTCTAATTGTATATATACACCTCGTGATAGTTGATTATCAGTCATAGATATAATGTTATCTTTCAAAGCGAAGACAATGGTTTAAAAGAGAGAGATGCATTTAGAAACGCATTTCTTATTTTTATTTATTTGTGATTGTTACATACTCCAGAATCCAACACTGGAATCGCATTCCGACTAACGAATCGGGAAACAGGGCAATCAGTAGCAAATATATCCGACGTCAAGTACTTGGGTTTGTCACCCATTACTGGCATATTCGCACTAACCTTAATCTTACTCTCATAATTTCTCCTGTATGTCTGCCCTAAAACCCCATCCACTTCATCACTTAGATTAAAAAACCTAAACCCTAAATCCAAATGAGCGAAGCAATCGTCATCTGTAATATTATAACCATGAACTCTTGATTCTTCCGCACTGATCGGCACCACGGTGGCTGTAATCCTGAAACTGTTCTCTACTTCAATTGCAATACCATTAGTCGGGGTTGTTCTAGAGATCTGTAGAGATGAATTACGATAAATCCAGTTTTTCCCTTCAATGGATAGAGGAGTATTGTCGAAAAACATAAAAAGATGTTCTTCGTTATCATCCCATGTTGACGTTCTCTTGGCTCCGACAAGGAGTTCGTGATCGTCAAACAATATTCCAATGGATTGCACCCATGTGAAGTCACGAGTGAGTTTAGGGTTTCGTTTTCCGATAAAGTGACCATTGATGTGAAGGTTGGTGTCGGATACAAGACAGAAGTCTTGATCTTTACGACCATGGAAGTAGAATGTGACACCATCTCCTCCTACAAATCGTGGGTCTTGACACACAGCTCCCGGCATGTTGCAACCTTAATTAATATGTACAAAATAATAAACTGATGAAGTTAATATATGTATAATATATTGGATTGAAACTTAACTTATTTATTAATCTCTTTGTGAAATGAACATCTGTAAAAAAAAAACAACTTACTACAAACTGGCTTGCAGGAAACACAATCCATGAAACAGTGGTTTGAGCAGTCGACTGGACGAGTGCCATAGACTGAAGCATAGCGGGAAAAAAGGAAGAAGGCATCTCACTCTTTTCGGTAGTCCAGCAGTGGGGAGTTGAAATGGAGGTAAACCTGGTATCAAAGGTTTCGGAGTTGGTTCCCAGCTTGATGAATGAGCCGGCATATCCATTGCATGTTGCTGCCCAGCCACCGGAGATTCAAAGGTCAAAGAGATGATCAGCAACAAAGGAAACCAAAGCTGCAATGAACTCATCATTTTCATGGTAGAAATTAACTATGGATCGACAACGAGTAAGATTTGTTAAGTTGCTATGTTTGTGTGATTGCTGGTGCATTTGTTTTTTGGTCTGAGGGCCGTTTTATAATCGAACAACCATCGGTTAAAGCAGGAGAGGTTTATAAAATGGTTGGTTTTCATGTGTTTGACGCCATATATAAGTGGTATGAAAAAAAAAGAACATTTGAGGGTGTATAAGGGTACCTTCTTCATCATTTCACATATGGTACTTTACATGCGTTTATACTTTTGTAACCGATCCTATCTTAATAAAAAAATCTATTAGTGATTAAAAGCACTCTTTAGTGATCACAACGGTACACTACAAGAATAAACATCTATAGGGACGAAATCTATAGAGACGACAAAAGTCAATTAAACTCGAGAAATTACATTTACATTCTAGCTGAGCGTTGTGTTGGAAATGGAGACAACCCTGTGGTATATATCTTGACACCTTGCATTTAATTTTTTTATGGTGAAATGATTTGGATCATAATTATTTGTGTTTTCTTTATTTGTCTTTTTGGGTCGGTGTTTTCTTGGTTTATTATGAATGTCGTGTGCATCTTGTTACTAAATAACCATGAATTTGCAATTTTTGTTCCATCATGAACTACAAGTTGTAACTCAGTATTCTTGACATGGAAATATAGGAGAAACTAAAACTATTTATTTTTTTTTCAGCTGGATCAAGAACTCCCAACCTTCACTGCTGGTTCAATTCAGTGATGATGGTCAAAGTAATGATTGACAAACTTCTAGTGGATCCGATTAAATTAGATAGTATGTCTCATTTTATGAAACTTTTAAATTTTTTCAGATTGGGTGATATGTTTCGGTAAACTTATATAAGACTTTAATGTTTTGAGATTAAATCGTATTTTAATGTTTTTGCAATTAAATTTATTGTTTTAGCTATTTGATAAATTTAGTGCTTTAACATTTTTGTGATGTGAAAACTGAAAAACTATAGAGAAAAAAAATAACAGTATAGGCATACCTATAAAGACGACATGTCGTTTCTATAGGTGCATCTATAGAGATGACATGTCATCTCTACACGTGCATCTACCACGACTATGTGTTGACTGTATATATCTACCTATTGAGACGACATGTTGTCTTTATAGCTGCATCTTAAGAGGCGACATGTTGTCTTTATAGATGAACCTATAGAGACGACATTTCGTCTCTATAGCTTTATCTATAGAGACCAACAACTTATAGCGACGAACCAGAATAAGACGACATGTCGTCTCTAAAGGCTACCTACTGCGACAATATTTTTAGCGATGACAAAAAAATCTATTGCGACGGGCCTATGGTGACGAGAGCTATAGGGGCGACATATCGTCCTCGACACCTATAGGGACGACTTTTGAACCTACAGAGACGACATTTATCGTCCCTATAGGTCCCGTTTCTTGTAGTGGTATCATGATGATTAAAACTAAAAAAATGATCTTTAATGAAGGTGATCACCAAATATCACGACATGTTCATATATTTTTATTCGGTTATTTTAGTTATAAAATTTTGTGACAATTATTTTTAGGTCATTAGACCAATAGGCACACCCTCCCTATGAGATGGTTGGGTTGACGTGGCAATGCGGGGTGGGGAACACAACACCCTTTGCTCTTTTCTCCACATGATGGGTACAAAATCTAGTGAGAAACCATCTCAACAATACTTTCTCTTCTTTCATCTCTTTTTTACTTCTTAATTACTACTTATTTTTTTCTAAAAAAATTACAATCTATAAATATTAAAAATTTAACTTTTAAGTTCACTCCTATTATCCTACTACACTCCATTTGTTTCACTAAACATTGGACTCGTATATATCATTCTTAAATATCAAAATATTATATTATATATATATATATATATATATATATATATATATATATATATTAACATTTTAAATATTTTACAATCATTTTAAATCATTTTTTTTTATCAATTGACTAAATATTTCATATAAACCTAAATTGAGAATTTAATTTATTCCCTTCATAAACTTTTAAAATATTATATTTAACCAAATGATTATTTTAATTAATTTTAATAATTTAAAAACTATAAATAATTAAATAATCATTATTTTGTTTTGTATCTTTTTCATGTTGATTCATATTATTGAATTGAATCCATATTTTATAAATATCCAGTGTCATAATTATGAAACCATGTACTAAAACTAAATTATATTAAACAGAAATTAAGATGAAGGCAAACATGGTTTGACAAGGGCAAGTTGTATACCGTTACATAAAAAAGTAACATGTTTTACACGGGAGGAGGATGGTATGTTTCAGAAATAATTATCTAAAAAGTAATTATTGGCTATTACTCGGTTTCATACCGAGAATCACACTCCATTTTCCTAATTCGTATTAGAACTAGCTCTATATAATACTCTGCTTGCAGGCCGGCCGGGTCCTGACGGTAGACAATCCAGACGACCGTTCAGAGTCTATGTCTCTATGGGGCCCATAATTTATGGGCTGGTATATATATATATATATATATATATATATATATATATATATATATATTATATATATATATAAAATAATTTATGTACATGTGTCTAAGAGGCACAAGCTAGCCCAATATGATGATATCAGTCCGAGAAAGTAAACATAGTGGCCTGGAACACACATGAATCGACAATTCACATAAGGAGGGAACCGAATCGACATCTCGTGAATCAATTACCACATTATTCCTGGTGACCTCGTGAATCGACATTATAAGGCTCAAATCTCTCTCTTGGTTTGACAATATCATTATAGTTCTCCTAATACTCTCCCCTTCTCTGCTTCTGAATCTTGATTCTCTTGCAAAGTATTTGGATCTGATTACTGAATCTATTTATTTTATTTTATTTTTTTTTTTTTTTGAACGGCGACATTAGCACAAAACAAAAACTCAAGCAAGGAGCTACTGAATCTATTAGGAATGGGTTTGATGAAAGCTTTCGATTTTAATTCTTACTTTTATTTATGTTTTTTTTTGTTTGTTTCTGATTCATTTATTTCTCATTCTTGGTTCTGATCAAATGCCGGAAGTTTTAGATTAGGAGATAAAGTCTCAAAGGTTTGATCTTGGTTCTGAATCGATTAGGAGATATAGTCGTCTCTTTCAGCTTGAATCGGTTTTGAATAAGTGAATCTATTAGGTAGTAACTTGATTCTCAAAGCTTAAAAGTTTGATCTTGTTCTGAATCGATTACAACCTTGTGAAAGTTGTAATATACATTGTTTGGAATAACCAATAGAAATTATGACATTTATTTTAGGGAAATGGATGCTTGTATTTGGAGAAAGTTTTTTTTTATTCTAGTTTGATAAACAAGCATCCTTGGTATCATTATTTATTCACCTATACATTTGCAACCACTAACAAAACCAAACCCTCCCCCTTCCCCCATGTAGTTTAATACATCGAAGTGTAGTTGTGTTCGTATCCACTTATGATTTATTCTCGATATTTATAACATAGTAATGTCCTAACACTTATCTTCTGATTTATTCAGGGTGTTTGGATTAGCTTATTAGCTTATTGCTTATTAGCTTATTTGTGATGTGAATAAGCAATAAGGGGGAGATGCTTATTCAAATCAGCTTATTTAACTTATTCCTAACACAATAAGCTGATTTTTAAGGATTTTATCCAAACACTTAAATTTAGTTTATTGTGGTGGGAATAAGCAATAAGCACCCTTTTTTTTTCTATCCAAACACCCTCTCAGTTTAAAAAACTCTTTTAAGAATGTTTCAAAGTTTCCACCTAGGATTGTTATTAGCTTATTAGCTTATTGCTTATTAGCTTATTGCTTATTAGCTTATTTGTGATGTGAATAAGCAATAAGGGGGAGATGCTTATTAAAATCAGCTTATTTAACTTATTCCTAACACAATAAGCTGATTTTTAAGGATTTTATCCAAACACTTAAACTTAGTTTATTGTGGTGAGAATAAGCAATAAGCACCCTTTTTTTTTCTATCCAAACACCCTCTCAGTTTAAAAAACTCTTTTAAGAATGTTTCAAAGTTTCCACCTAGGATTGTTATTGATGTATGAAACAATCTACAATAAAAGATGGAACAAAAAAACCTAATTTAATTGTAGTTACGTCATAATAAAAGTTTTAAAAAAAATTTAAATACTAGCTAGAATAATTTTCAATGAGAAATGATGATTTTTTAATCAAACATAAGGGCATATGCAGTAACAAAATTTAAAGACTAAAATAATAGATTTTGGAGATTTTTTTCTTCTTAGCACCGGGCCTAAAATATGTTTAAACTGGCCCTCAATGGTTGTAGAGTTGAAAACTCAGCTCTTTTTCTATTGATATCTTACTAATTTTTTGCAAAACCAAAATTTAGGATTTATTACACTTTGAAAATGGGTTCTTCTTCACAGAATGTAGTTACAAACGGGTTGTATTTGTCATTTAAATAAGGCCGCCTTACACTTTTTATGTAATGGATTATACACCTTGCCTTTGTCAAAACGTATTTGCCTGGATCTAAATTTATTTTTAACATAATTAACTTTTAGTGCATGGTTTTATACTTATGATACTCGATATTTTTGGTCTCAGGTCCCTTTCATAATCGAAACCAGCCATTAAAGCATGAGGGCGCTTTTATAATCGAAACCATCAGTTAAAGCAGGAGGAGGTTTATAAAATGGTTAGTTTTCATGTGTTTGACAACATATAAGTGGTATAAAAAGATTGGTGTATAAATAACGATACTTTCTTCCTCATTGTAAATCACTACATATGGTATTTTACATGGGGTGTTAGTTACACACACTCCACTGTAGTTTACTATATTTTATACACATGTTACTTTTTTATTTAAATTATATTAATATTATTGTTTAAGAATAAATCAATAAAATATTGATTGTATAATATAATGATTAAATATTAAAGTTAATTTATTATTTCCATCTATTAT